CTTTCCACGACTCAAACTCTTTGCAACTGTATCCCTTTGTCTCAATGTTTAGACTTAATGAAAGGGATTAATAAAATCCAACCTGTATCCATTAAGTCATTCACTGATTTATCAAGTCTGACTGATAGGAACATACGTCATAAAAACATCTCAGCATGGCCATGCAATTTCCTCAATCATAGCTTATCAGTGGGCCCCATAAGACATTAATCTCTTAAAAAGAGTAGTGACAAATCCTATGTACGTAATCTACGTTTCTGAATACGCGTAGTGGCATACCCAAAACAAAGCTTGTATACCATCCTTTTTTCGTATGGCTTAGGACAATGCATCAGAGCATGGGGGGTTCACATTTGCAGAAAACGTAATACTTCAAGTGGAAGAATAGTTACACCTATGGTCGCGCTAAAGATGCTTAGAGCATGAACTAAAAGTTCAAGCAACATCTTTAGGATGGGTCAGTCCGGCATCCTATTATCTCCAGATAATATCTGCCCATGTGTGGATGCAAACACACCGTCATTGACTATGAGACTAAGTCAAACATCCAACACACACTAGTCTCACCTGCATTAACGATATCCCACTCTCGTTAGTACTCGACTATGGACATTCAGAGAAATATTTATTTCAAGATGTTAGTCTCATCAGCAGAAAAAAAACATTATTTGATAAACATCTTTAAATATAAATATAGGAATATAATATTTGTTTACATTAGCATGAGATGTGTGAACATATTATATTTGCCTATACATGATAGAATAATGATGAACAGTTGGCCATTAGGGCACAACTCCAACATTACATTCACCCCTAGTTAGGAAAGCAACGTCCTCGTTGCATCCTTTTTTTAACCCTTAGATCTTCCCCGCTAGGTGAACTAAGCTCTCTTGGCCCGTCACGGTTGTAGGGTTGCTCTGATACCATTTGTAACACCCCGGCCCCCACCCTAGCCGTAAGTGTCTGCTCATAGGATTGTAGACTAGCCCCACAAACTAACACAAGTCTTTCCCGTGCATTTTATCCTCACGTACTCGTGCGCGCCCAAGGAAAGTTCTCAGGGGGTCACCCATCCTAGAATTGCTCCAAGTTAAGCACGCTTAACTTTGGAGTTTCTAGGTGATGAGCTCTCGAAAAGAAGATGCACCTTGTTGATATGAGTAGTACTATCAATCCTTTTGAGCTCTTCCCATTCACATCTTAATACGGGGTATTACATTTTGTCTTCTTGTACTTCTTCAAAAATTCTGACCGAGCTCTTCAATTTGGGGAGTCCACATTTTGTCTTCTTGTCATTTATTCTTGAATCAGCTACGTTATCCTCAATCTAGCCGTTTGAAAATCAAGAGTCTGATTTTTCCTTGCCAACGGGTACAATTTCTTCATTCATGACTTAGATAAATTTCTAAGTCTTTTATCACTTGTCTGTTCTGAGAGCTCCGGTCCATCTTGAGAAATCCGGCTCTTTGCTTGATAGTACCGGATTAGTCATACTGAGATTTCCAGGTGAGAAAGTATCTGACAAAGCGGTCCGCGCTAGTCTTCCGATCCGGATGAATTAGCCTTCATACAGATGGCTGCGAGACTTCCGGGTAACATTTGAGTATTCCGGATTTGATAATTCCGAAGTAATTGACTTCATTGAGAATTCCTTTCTAGTCTATGATATTTCGAAGCAAGAGGTCTGATCTCTGATTTTTGATAAGTCTTCAAAATATAGATGCTCAAATATCAAGACTAAATATCATAAGTTTTATTTGAAAACTCAAGAACTTGGTTTTAACAATATTTTTAATAAAAAGAAAATTACATTGAATAAATGGGGAGACCTAGAGTCACTATTACAATCTAAATACATCATCATCAAAATCTATAATATGTTTCCCAACAAAAGGAATCTCGCTGCCAATGTGTTACTCTATCCACGACCACGACCTCTACTGGCTAGGAGCTCTTCCTCTACCTCGTCCACCATGAGCAGTTGCCACATTCATTTCATGGGAGTGGGCTCGTACCAGTTGGTCTTTCCTCTTGATTTCGAACTAAGAGCTCTTTGGTCTGCTATGCAAACAACAGACATGATATTAAATTAGAGTACTTAGTACGTGAACCCACATTCTCTATACTTATGTGATAGTAGCACATTTGATGTATGAAAAGTGGAAAGAGTCTTTTCAAGCATATCTTTATTAGTCACTGGCTCTCCACATAACTTCAGAATGACTGATGCTTACATATTTAAAATCCTGGAGTCTCAAGTGAAGCCAATCGTAGCGAGCTTTTGGCACTAAGACCATGGTGGGCAAAATGCTCTTTAGTATTTTTCCATAATTCATAAGGGTTATCAATAGTGAGGTATTCCCTCTTGAGGTCCTCATTAAGGTGATGATGGAGGAATATCATGGCCTTTGCCTTATCTTGAACATAAGCACCATTTTTTTTCACAGATCGTATCTCCTAAGGTCTTTGCCGTGAGGTGAATTTCGGCATCTAAAGTCCATGTGAGAAAGTTTTTTCTCGAGATTTCAAGTTCAAGAAATTTAAGTTTTGAGAGGTTTGACATTTTAGCTACAGTGGAGGAAAAAATATTTATTAAACCACACTACTATATAAAAAAACGGGGGGGGGGGGGTGTTCTTCAAATTTAAAGTTGCATGTCTAGAGAAAAAATGTGTATTCTAAGCGCAAAACGCACACACAGAATACAATTCATATGTAAAGAAAATAACAGTGGCTATTTTAGAGGTTAAAACAAATACTCATGCATACTAATTTTTCTACAAAGAATTTAGTCATAATGGCTATGTATCGGCTTTTTTCATGGGAGTACCCAACTTTACATGTTGTAACAAAAAAGTATTTCATCTTATATTTGTAACAAAATAATACCTCATGTTTTAGAATTATAACAAAGTGATATCCCCCGATCGGAATTGGCATATTCCGGTGACGGAGTGATGAATTGGCATCCTACCAGGGCCGGCCTAATAGGGGGACAAAGTGTCCGTCTGGGCCGGGCCCAAAAATTTTGGGGGCACAAAATTTTTTTTTTAGTATTATATATATATATATGTGTGTGTGTATATAAGCCCAGGCCCAGTACCCTTCCCTTGAGATCCAGCCCAGTCCATGTGACATGTGTAATTGTGTATTACGTAGACAAAAAAAGAAACGGAAGAAACCAGCAGCCGACCGAATTAATCGGTGGAAACCAGAGACGTGCAAGTGCCGATCAAGTCGCCGCCTCCGCCGCCGGACGCCGAGTCGCCGAGCTACACGCCTCCACCTTCCAGGTAATTATTCATAGCCTTCCCTTTCCAATTTTGTAATTTTTATTTCTAAAATCTTAATTTTCTTTTATTGTTTTATTTTTTAGATTTAGAATTTAGGGTTAATTATTAGTTTTTAATTTGAAATCTTTTCTAATTTCATTCTTTGAAATAGAATGAATGAATGGTTCTATATGTTATTTATTTGATTTGGATGAATTGATTTGAATTTTTTATTTATGATAATTCCATATTTATATTAAAAAAAACTGAAAACCGAAAAAAAAAATTAAAACCTGATAAATTGATGAATTGATATGAATTTATGATTTATGAAAAAATTAAAACTGAAAAATAAAAAAACAATTATTTTGTTAGAATAAAAAGTACTTAATTATGTATTCCCAGGAGTCCAAAAGGAGAGAGCTAGAATAAAAAGTCCATTGATATCAACCATTGATGATTTTGTTAATTCAAAACTGGACAAACAAATAGTGTGGGGTCATATTCTACTACATTGCATTTGGCAATAATCAATATATTTGTACATAGTTGATAGAGTTCGTATACCGTACATCCGGCTATACCTAAAATTAGGTACAGCCGGCCCACTTAACCTTTAAAATGCAAAAGCCCATTACGGATCAGGCCCAAATATTTTCATTTCCCTATACCCGCGATTTCCAAATCATCCCCCACCTTCGAAATTCAAATTCATTCTCTAGAATCGAAGCGTTTCCTGCACAACATCACTGCGCTCGAAGTTGTCTGCGGCACAACATCACTGCGGAAGAAGATGACCATGCAGAAGGAAAAAATTGCAGAAGCTTCCTCTTCGTTGAGGTATGAGATTTTTACTTATATTATTGTTAAATATTCTCTCTAAATTCCAAATTTATCAAATCTTAATCGGAAAGATGTCAAACCCTAATTGGAACATTTTTAAAGCAAAATCCTACGTGTTGAGCTCCAAAGCAATTTCATCTGCTATTATACTAATTCTCGCATTGAAGTGTAAGCTACCAAACTCGTAAGCACTTATACTCATTCTCATATAGAATGGTACTCGTTTGTATTCTGGAGAGTTTTTAAGTTCATTCTCGTAAGGGCCGTAGAAAATGTCACATAACATATCCATTCAAGTAACTGATTTAATTAATTCCATTCTAGTATGTGTCATAACACATTGGCATGTATACTGGTACTCATTTTTATGGGTCCAGTACTTCTGCTTATGATAGATAGTAAAGTTCATCCATATAGGGGTTGTAATATAACCATTGTCTTGTTTGGTAGAACACATTATGATTTATAATCATACTCATTTATACTCTCTGTAATTTGGTGTGCTTTTGATTCAAGTAATGGATTGAACTATGTCCATTCTTGTATGTGTTATCAGTGATTCTAATCTATAATGGTCCTCATTTGTAGTCCACACAGTAGGTGCATGTTATGTTTGTTATAGTAAAGCTCATTCATATTGGGATTTGTAATATGATCATTCTAATGTGTTCCAGTGTACATTATGACTTATTCTTGTACTCAATTATACTCTAAATACTGAATATGATCATTCTCATTCTGTATAGACAACTTAAAGCCCAAGGTTATTATTTTTTGTGTGTGGTAGGAATATGATCATTCTCATAACTGCTGGTATTCCTTCTGTTACAGAATAGTACTCAGTTATTGAACTATGTAGCTAAAAATCTTATTGAAATGTGCATGAAAATTATGCAGTAAAAAAGCCATCACGGAAATCCCTCTACTACGTGAAGAACCAAGTGTTTTTACTAAAGTAAATCTGAAGAAAAGGAAAGGGACTGAGAGGGAACCCAACTTTGGGAGGAAAATGCAACTCAGAAAGAGAAAGAATGGGATCCTAGGAAAAACTGCTGAGCAGGAAAACAATCAAGCTCAAGAAGATCCAATTTCACAAGAAGATCAAATGCCGAGCATTGAAAAGATTGACCAATTAAACGGTGAGAAGTTTTTGGTAGCAGAAGTTGAGATCGAAGCAAACTCAGAGCAAAGGAGAGAGGAAGCTGACCAAGGAAATGGTGAAGAGGAAGAATGTGCTAGGACGAAGAAAGATGACACAACAGAAAGAAAAGGAAAAAGGAAATACAAAAAGAGAAAGAAAGGAACACCAGAAAAAAATGCCGAGAAGGAAAACAATCAAGCTCAAGAAGATCCAACTTCGCAAGAGGATGAACTGCTGAACATTGAAAACATTGACCAATTAAATGGTGAGAAGTTTTTGGTAGCAGAAGTTGAGCTCGAAGGAAACACTGAGCAAAGGAGTTCGAGAGATGAGCTAAACACTGACCAAGAAATTGGTGAAGATGAAGAAAACACTGAATAAGAGTGTAGTGAAGAGGAAGAATGTGTTAGGAAGAAGAAAGTGCAACAGTAGAAAGAAAAGGTAAGATGCAATACAAAAAGAGAGAGAAAATAAAGAAAGAAAGAAGCGGGTGCTGGGAGAAGAAGGAGAACTGAATAAGATTGGTGTGAAGTCCATAAAGACAAGGATGTCACCAAAAACAATAACTGAACTGTTTAAAAATCTGAGTGAAAAACAAAAAGAGGATGTTAGGGAAATGGGGTTTGGTAGGTTGTTACAGTTGGATATCACGCATCTTCCTCTGCAGTTAGGTTACTTTAGATAATTTTGATACCAGAAGTGTTTCACTGAAGTTGCCAGGTAAAAAAGAGATCCACATTTATGAGACTTCCATTCATAGCACCATCAGATTTCCAATGGGAGGAGAAAGTGTGATGAAAAAGAATGGAGAGAAATCTGAAGAAGCAAGAGAAGTGATGAGAGCTTGGAAGTTACAATTTCCAGTTCAGAAAGGGACAGTTAAAATAGCAGATGTGAGAAAAAGTGTTGAAGAGAATAAGGGAGGAGGAGAAATGTTCAAAAGGAATTTAATGGTATTGATTGTCAGTTTTTTAATTGAAGGGAAGCAGAATTGTTCAGCAGCACATAAAATTGTGAATGCTTTAGTAAACGTTTCTGAAATAAAAAACATGAACTGGTGTTTATATACCTTGGAGAGCTTGATAGAGGCAACAGATTATTGGAAAGCCAACAAAAGCAGATTGTTTGGAGGGCCATTGCTGTTTTTAGTTGTAAGTTCTAAATTTTATATTTGTTATCTGAAATGTTTATATATTTTGTGTGTTGTATTAACACGTTTATTTGATGAAATGATGATCAAGTTTTCTATGTTGACAATGTCATTTTCAAAAGCAGGAGAGTTCAAAGGCAGTTCCCCGCTTTCGTTGGGTGGAACGCAAGACTACTGTGGGAACGAGAAAGGACTGAACAAAAGAGCGGAGGATTTGGTTACGGGTACATCGATGTGCCCAATGTTGAAAAGATTGAACTCACAAGTCCAAATGTCAACAAAGAGAGTCAGACAAACCAAAGTGATGGTGGAAATCAAGATGATTTACATGTTCAGAAAGAAAAAATGGTAAGGTTATAGTACTATTCATTTCCTCAGAAATATTAACATGTGACCATGGTAAAAATACTGTTAAATGCAATTCATTACAGGATGTTATAAAAGCATTTGCTTCAGCCACAAAGAATTTGGCAGAAGCAATATCTACATTTGATGAGAAGCTTCGAGCAGCTGTTCAAGTGTTATGATGAAGCAATGAAAATGCTGGTAGAGAGGGTTTATAATCTGCTAGATGGTTATTCAAAAGAGAATGTGCAAAAAGAAGAGAATGAAAGCACAAGAGAAGGAGAAAAGGAATGGACTTTTAGTCAAGATGATGAATATTGGAGAAGTGAAGAAGTGATGAAGGCTATTGATGCTATAGAAAAAGCAGAAAAAAGGCGACAAGAGAGAGCACAGTATGATGGGGGAGTGGCAGCTGATGTGGGAGGTGTGACAGAACATGCAGGAAAAGAGAGTGATTGGGTGGCAGCAGATGTGGGAGGTGTGATAGAAGAAAATATTGAGTTGGAAGCAAATGTGGGAGATGGGGGACAAGTGACAGAAGCTATGGAAGTTGTGGGAGATGTAGAACATGCAACAGAACCTACACACACAGAGAATGGAGAATTGCAAGCAGATGTCGGAGGTGGGAGTCATGTGTGATCTTGTTTGATTTGTCTTAACATATAGATTACTAATATATAATTTCTATAATTTTTTAATATACAAATTACAAGATAAAATAAATTAAAGAAGTGTATTGGATGGTGTGCAAAAATGAAAGTGGACAAATATTCTGGGACGGAGGTAGTACTATTTTTTGGTGTAGCACTCATTCTGGTATCTCTTAATGTTCATTAGTCTTTACAGCAAAACTCATTCTGGTATTTTTTGGTGATGAATTTGAACTCATTCTTGATGACATAAAATACTTATGATTTCTAATTTGTATCAGTAATGTATTATACAAGAAAGGTGACAGAGCAATCAAGAAAGCGCACTTCCAAAGCTTGAAATTGAACTGAGCGGTTTCTTTTGAAATCATAGATTTGTGGACTGATATTCTTAACCACAAAGAGAAATTCAAAAGCAATGACTCATCAGTGTTCTTCCCAACGAAAATTTGTGTATGTTAAAATAAAATCACAAGCAGTAGAGTAGTTTTTCTAAATAAATATAATGACTTTTTAAGTTCAAATTTGCAGGATGTGTTGGATTACAATGTTGGAAGTTCAGCAACAACACGAAACACAAACTTTGTGGAGAGTATGGAGAAAATGTCTCCAATGTCAATAAACAGGGTGAGGAGTACATATATGTTTTTCTTCCCAGCAAAGCTGACAGACCATGTCTACTTAATGTGTTTTGACTTGAGAAATATGAAGTTTCTCATAATTGACAATAAAGAGACTATAGTTGCAATAGGTGTAAGATATATATTCCATCCAAACCACTTGGTAAGATTTGTTTAAGAAATGCTCCATTAAAGATTTTTCTTTAAACATTATTTAAATAACATTACTTCCTATTTTTTTATATGTCCATTGTAGAGAAGTGCCTTTGTAAAGTGGCTTAAGGAAAAAAAAGATCTAAGAGCAACGGAAGTACAGAAGCTGAAACCAGAGCGCTTAGATGTGGGACTGAATGTAATGAAAAGTCGTACAGACTCAAGAGTGTTTGCTATGAGATTCATGGAGACATATAAAGGGGAAGCAGAATGGGATTGTGGGCTTGAAACCATAAATGTAAGTACTAGTAGATTTCTTGGTAACACAAATATTACTCTATACATGAAAATTTTAAAAATGAATGGTTTAAAATTGGGAATATTGTAGGAAAAGCTGATGCAAAAGTTGAGGATAAGATATTTGAATGAGATGCTGACATTTGAAAAGAATGAGATGAAGGAGGATGTGGTGAAGAAAATCAAATCTAGACTAATTGCTCAAAGGGAAATCAAGAAAGCAGCTAAGGGGAAATAGGAGGAAAAAGACTAATGTTGAAAGCTGATGCTGAAGCATATGATGAAGACAACTTTTTTGTGTGTGGTTATAGTAGTACTATGGATAACTGAATTTAATTTTGATGAAAACTTATGTGGTTATATTAGTGTTATGGTTATATTGCTGTTATGAAAACTGATGTGGTTACAGATGTTATGTACTTTTGGGTTTGAGAAATGTATATTACTTTCAGAAGTGGTTCTTTTTGTTTGAAATTGAGTCGGGTACGATGACGCTGCTGAATGGAAAGTTCATATATATATATATATATATATATATATACATATATACATATACACATATATAGATACATATATATATATATATATACACATACATACATATATACATATATACATATATAGATACATATATATATATATATATATATATATATATATGGGGATTGACTCCAGTCAGATGACATGTTTCGGTCAGATGACACTTTCGGTCAGATGACAACGTATGACTCATTCTGAATCAATGCAGCGCTCATTCTAAAACAATGTAGGATTCATTCTCACACAACTGTTCATCACAATGTAGTGTTCATTCTAAGTCAGCGAGACAACAACATATGGTTCATTTTGAATCCATGAAGTATTCATTCTAAGACATTGTATGGTTGATTTTCACACATTTGTTCATTATAAACGTAGCACTCATTCTGAAACATATATATATATATATATATATATATATATATATATATATATATATATATATATATGTTCAGTGTTTTGTGCGCTAGTACTCATTCTAATGTGTCAAGGTACACAATGTGAGTACATAATGTGTCGAATCTGTAAAAACACACACATATGTTGTTATGTACGGGAGGTTTACATAAACTTTTATTCAATTCTAATGCCATGGCCATGATAAAGTAGGAAAGATATACTAATTTATCACAATAAAGATTGTTCATTCTTGTATGTTTTGGTACTCATTCGGATATGTCATGGTATTCATTACACAAAACACACAGAGATCTAAAAAGGCATAAAATTCAGTGCAACATATGAGAGAAGTACCCCAGGTCTGGGAGACATTCCATTCACTGTCAACATCTTTTATGTTGACAGTGGTTTATTTTGTGACATCCAAAGGAATGAATACATGGCCATGATAAAACATTGCAGGAGAGATAAAAGACTAAAACACAACCAATGGTTAACATAATGCCCAGTAAAAAATAAAACACCAGAAACAAAACCAATGCCAACACTAGAAACAAAACCAATGCCTATAACTTTTTCAGAACTCAAAATAACTCGAAAGTGAACATTTCCAATTCATTGCCGATAAACATTTCCACACTACTCCAAAGTGACTCGAAATAGAAAATAGAGAAAACTGAAATCACTTGCACAACTGTAACTTTCAACATTTAAGGTAAAAAGTGAACAAATCATAATTCATGTATCTAATAATGAAGAACAAGCCATAGAACTTGGAAGCTCTGCAGAACATGTAGAAGCACTCCGGTGGACAGCTTGTTTTCGGCCTCTAGCTTGATTAGTCTTCTTTTCTCTAACACTTTTCCACCTAACATTCCTTTCTCCCTTATTCCTCGAACCCTTTGGATTACAGATCTGAACTTCTCCATTATGAGGTGAATCAGTATCAGAAAAATAAATGCTGCCAACATGAGCTTCAACATCGACTTTCAACTTGTTAAATTCTTCCTCACACAAAGCCCTAGCTACTTCATTGGAATCACTCGAAGACAAAACTTTGTGAACTTTTCTTTGCATCTGTAACCGCCAAACAGAAGGTAAAACAAGAAACCTAGAACATGAAGCAATATGGGATTCTTCAAATGACTTCGCATTACGTGACCAACGTTTCAAAATATAACAACCTGGGATATTTTCAACACAATGAATGTGATAAATTCGCAGAATATGAGAACAAAGAATGCCAGCTTCTTCAAAGTGCTTGCACGTACAACTAGCACTATCCGTTGAAGTATCATAGAGAACAAAGTATGGAAAAACACTATCAGTTGGCACATACACCAAATAACGAAGTAAACTGCCATCTGAATGTCTGATCTCATGTTTAAGAGACAAACTTTTGATAAATTCCTTCTCAAATAACATGTATGCATCAATGGTGTAGACTCTTGAGGCTCGATAGAGTAGACTCACATATGGGATAGCAATCTCTGGAAATCCCTCCCAACATCGTTCATTATCACTGCTCTCATGACTACGCCATTCACTCACAGTTTCACAGAAGAAATGATAAAAATCACATAGAGTAGCAGTTACACTTACTTTCTTAGACAAGGCATGATTGGTTAACTCACTACGTTGGGAAGACAAAATACCAGCAGAGAAGAAATCCTTTGAAAATGTTGGGCACCACTTCTCTCGAAGGTTATAAAGCTTCTTTAACCAATCATTATTCATACACGAATACTTTGTAACCAACCTGGAAAAAAGAATAAAATTTATAATGAAAATGACTAATATATAATAAAAGAATGTCACTTAAGATACAAAAGACAATACCAAATGAACATACCTATTCCAGTAATAGTCAAACTCAGGAATGGTATGACAAAGTTTCAGAACATGACCGAAAAGATCCAAAAACCATCATGGTTCCTCAAATCCCTTATATGCTTCTTGGAAATTTCAGAAATGTTCCATACACATAGACGATGTTTAGAATTAGGGAATACTGAATGTGGTTGTTAACCCCAACAAATGGCCCACAAATCATTTCATATTTGTTTGTACGATATGTTGTATCATGCACAATCAAGTCACCAAATAAACAATAATCTTCCTTCATTTGCTTGTCCCTCCAAAAAAAACTGACCAATGAACCTTCAAAATCAACCTCAAAGGCAAAGAAAAAATCTTCCTCGTTTCTTTGTCGTTGCCTAAAATACTTAACTAAAGTATTAGCATATGTACCATCAAAGCACCTTTTAGCGTCTTTTGCCAAATTGTTATAAACATCTCTCAATGCAAAACCAACCGCAGGTGACCCACCAGCTTCTGTCCTCAAACAACGAAATGCATCAGCAACTTTAACCCCTTGTTGTTTTAAAAGATTAAGATATGACAGCTGTTCTTGAGAAATATCTCTATGTGATCTTACATGGTGAACCAATGAAGAAGGGCAAAACGAATGATTGCGTTCCATCAAATGTCTAACTACAACCCAATCACCATTATCCTTCAATTCAAAGTAAACTTTAGCTCGACAACCAGTGCGTCGATCAACTTTGGTGAATTTTTTCCCAACAGCCCCTTTGATCTTTTTTTACCTTCTTTATTACAACAAAACTCTCCCCCCTGATACTCAAACCATTCTGACCTTTCCTTAAAGTTGAATGACGAATACCAAAACCAATCCTAAATGCATATTCATTATAAAAATCAAATGCCTCTTTCTCTTAATTTACTTTTTTGCCAATTAATTCTGATGTTTTTGCCTCTTGAACAAGAATGGTAGTGTAACGTCCTGCAAACCGGTCTAGAATTTTTTTAACTTTTTACTAGAAAGTAAAATTTAAAAAAAAAATTAGAATAGAAGCTTTAATGATTAAATTGTTAGAGGGGATGAGTAAAAGCAATAAAACTAGTTTTGGTTCTCTACTATCTGAAAAATATAGTTTGTTTAAGTGAACCTATTTTTTTTCTTGACAAACAAATTATGTTAAAATGATGTGTGAAAAATATGGAACTTAACGGTATAAGTTTTTATATTTTTTTTTTCCAAAAATTATTTAATAATCAAAACTGTGGAAATCGGACATGTAGTATTAAACCAACGAAGGAAGAAACCTTTTGCTTTCCCCTTGTTGGCCACGCCTAGGATTCTCCTCCCCAACCCATTCATTGCATCTCTCATTTAAGAAAGACTTTATGTTTTTAAAAAAATAATTTCTATTTTTAAATTAAAAAAAAACCATCCACATACCCTTTTCTACCTATAAATAGAGGCTTAGGGTGACCACTTTAGGGCACTCGATCTAGAGGGTGTTGGGAGGACAACAATGCGTCAGTGGCGGACCCAAGAATTTCGAGGAGTGGGTTCACATTTTGTGCACAAAAAAATGTTGATATTTGTATAACAATAAATTTAAAATCTTAAAGGTAAAAAAAGTATCAATAAATAGCATTCTGAGATTAATATTGTGAATTATATGCAATATTTTTGAAATACTATATAAAAAATATAATACGCTCATTGTTTTAACCAAAAAAAAAATTAAAGAACTAAAGTAGTAATTCTAGACATTTCTTCAAATACTAAGTATATCTTAGGAATCTTTTTAAAACATTTAAACTTGTTCATACATTTCAAAAAAAAATTGAACATTTTATAATTAAGTTTCATAATAAAAGGTAAATCAGTTTTCCAAATCTAAAAGAATTAAAACATAAAATTCTACACAACTATAGAATGTGTCTTCTCTTCCATTTTCAAAAAATAGCACCTAATCACATACTCCATATAAATATACTCTCCTTGGATGCCCTTAGTCTACATATAATATCCAATTATATACTACTACTAATAAATAATTTTTTTTGGAGTGGGTGCAAGTGACCCCACTGCAACCACCCTAGGTCCGCCCCTGCAATGCGTGATAGCGAGGAAATACTTCCGAAGTTTTGTTCATCTACCTTTCTGATAACAACATCGAAGGTGTGCCGTTGACCCTAACCTTTAGCCATATATTTCATGTTCTTATGTTTTTGTGCATTTACTTTTAGTATTTTTATGGAATTGATTTGTTGTTATAAACATGTGTCTAAACATAAGTTTGTTTAGGAAGAAAATTATGTTTGAAGTAACAGGGTTCGGCGAATCGGCGAGTAGTAGTAAAAAATAATACAGAACATATGTCCGTATATAATATTATCCACGATTAACACGTCCAGTTTTTTTTTTTTAAAAAAACAAATTGCATATAAATTTAAATTATTGGTTTTTTTTATTTTGAAATGTGCGTGTGAGTATATATGATCATATACAAAGAGTTTGTTGTGTTTATTACTTAAATGTATAACGTAAATGATTATGGTTTGTTAATTGCCTTAAAGAAAAAGAGAAAACATATTTTATAAGCGAACAGAGCACAAAAAAAAATATATTTCAAATTCCAGTGGTTCAACGTATTGAATTAATTAAATAGATAAAAAAAATTGGTAAAACAAATTTAATAGATTGTAGATACACAGTGATTGAAATAGGTAGTAACCTAGCTTGTTTCCGTTTGGGCCGAAAAAGGGTACAATTAACAACATCAGTTTGAAGCTATTATTTTGTTATGATAAAAGAAGTTTTGTTATGTTGGTTTAATGCATGGAATTATACAGTAGCATTGTTGAGAAATTTGGTTATTTAACACAACAGCTAAATAATGTTTTTCATGGGACGTATAGGTAACTATGTAAAGAAGAAATGTATCATGTTTGACTTATAAAAAAAGGGTTATGTTTGACGTTTAATAAAAAAAATATAGTTTACTTCAATGACCTTACTAGTGTTAATCAGAGAAGTATTGGATGAAGTAAAAGCTTCAAAGTTTATTTTAACGACGTATCCTGACCAGATACTGTCACGTTTTTCTCAGTGGGTCAAACCACATGTTATAAGGCCGGATCGTATGTGTCCAAGTGGATGAGCCTACAAATAATCATACCACAACGTGTGCACGAGAGCCTAACGATGACCCCGTGGGTCTAGGGTTCACTTCTGATTACTAGACCCGAGGTCACGGGGAGATATCCGAAGTAAAACTACGAATCGACTAGTGCGGTGTTCCAGTCTAGTCACGGCTTATTAGTTCCTAATCTGAGGTTAACCTAGTAAGTCAAGTATTTTCTAAATGTCCCCAAGTAACTTTTCAAAGTGAGATTATTTACTTAATAATTTTAATTATGCAAAAAGCTCATAAAACATTAATAACTTAAAATGCCCTAAAATATATTTACATGTTATATATGTCTATTGGTTATTTGCCACTCAGCTTTGCTGAGCGTGTAGTTTTTTTTACTGCACGCAGGTACTAGCAAGGGTAACGACTGCTGAAGAGGAAAGCTTGGACGTGGAGGCCATACCAAAAGAGTTCTTATTTAATATTTAATAATAAATAAAACGTTGAACTTAATTTTACTTTGTTTTTGGGCTTGAACCCAAGGTTGTATTAACTGTGGATGTTTTACTTTAAGTTTACGCGGTAAACAAATTTTTTTTAATTCTCTTTAATTATCAAAAAGAGTATATATTTTGGGAAAAAAATATTTTACAAAGTAACCCGGTTTTACTAGCACTCTGGTCTGGATGACTCGGGTCATCCAGGGTGGGGTGTTACATTTTGGTATCAGAGAAATTGGTTTATAAAATGATCTTCTGACCTAACTTTAAAAAAACTAAGGAATTGAGGAAAAACATTTGATGGAAAGAAGTAAGGGAATGGAAAAAAATTATTTTTAAAACAAAATTTGTTCTACAGGTACGGCCACGTCTCAATGCTTCCTCCAAGCAGGTATATATATCTTAATTTGGCTTTAAACTTGTGTGCAAAGCACATAATTTTGATATTGATTGAAATATAAAAAAAAAGTAAATACAAGATATTGCCTTTGGGGTTACCACATTATTTAGATATCATGGAAATAGTTTATAAATTCATATAATCAGGATATTGGTAGTATTGGTAGTATACAATATACAAAGTTAGAGGCCAATAGATAGGCTGCATGGCAATCTAAAATCTTAGAATCTGTGCACAGATGTAATTCAGTATGGTACCACTGAATAGTTATAGCTGGACAAAAGGGGGACGCCCCAAGTCTAGTAAGATATAAGTTTCTTTTACCGAGGACTAGACAATCATGTTGTGGAATGACCGTATAAGGTCAGTAGATAGGGTATCAAATTATTTCTTTTACTAAAAGAGTAATTTAATTCATATATAACTATGAATGTGATACAATGAGATATAATGAAAATGGTGTTGCCTTTGGTTCTATAATAAAGCCTATGATCATGATTATTTTGCACTTTGTGTGCAACCTTCTTATGTGAAAATTTATGGATTTGTAGAATGATATTATTTGTATTCATGACATGTGAATAACTAAGTACAGTTATATTGTTACTTGTAATTGGCAATGAGTATGTAGTAGTTGGCTCAAAAAAAAAGAGATGAGAAAAAGAGAAAAAGTACAACAAGAACAAACAATCCTATTACAATTAATTGAATAATGGTAAGTGGAAATAAAAGAGAAAAATAAAATATTTTAATAAAATCGTTAAAAAAAAGTAGCATGCGTACATTACGACATATGACTAATGAAAGTCAACGATGCCTAGAAAAAAAGAGGAAAAGAAAGTGTTACATTTGTAGGGATATTAAAAAATGTAGATTATATTTTTTTTAAAAAAAAAATCAAACTTTAAGGTGAGTCGTAAAAAAAACAAGGGGTCAGTGGTTGGAAGTTACTGTAACAGAATATTGGTTATAGTTTATGGATTAAGTATCATTTGTATTGTCAAGCAAAAATTATAAAGTTTGCCATACAAAAAAATAATAATTCTAATGAAAACGAGGTTAATTACAAGAAATTTTTACATTAAAAATTTTTGTATTATGTACCATTCAAAATGAGCTTGTTT